ATGTGTTCAGGAACCGCAAGTTACATTTGGCGAAATGGCGGTAAATAAAAACTGTTGTTACGCATGTCACACAGCTGTAGTTTCTATTTCATTTATAGACAAACTAGAGTCGGCCCAAACTATCATATCGTTCGCTATCAAGTAACATGTGAATTCGATCCCTCCTACGTAAAGTATCGTATGTCGAACTTGCCAAGTTTACAGGGGAGCGTTTTAAAGTTCTGAATTCACTGAAATGTGCATAACACGTAAATTTAGCATTTGTCAGTTTTATTCGAGAATGAGTTTTAAAGTAACGTGCTTTGCCGAATAAAACTGTGAAATGCTAAAGTCACGTGTTATGATCATTTCAGTGAATTCAATACTTTAAAATGCTCCCCTGTAAACTTGGCGATTTCGACATACGATAGTTTACGTAGGAGGGGTCGAAATTTGTCAAAATTGTTTGCTTTTGACATTTAATTTCGACTTTATCTCGAATCACATTGTTTTGTTTCTCAGAGATGTTCGAAATTTGAATGTAACAATAAAATCGAATTCATGTTATTATTATGCAATAACAACATTTTAACAGATAAGAAATTTGTTCTAATAAAACGTTTATCTTTTTTTGTTTTGTTTTTTTCTTAATGAATGGCTTGAGACTGCTTAGTCTCAATTCTGCCAGTGTTTATCAGCAGTTTACAAAAGTTTATCTTTATGCTGGTTGTAATTTGCGGTTTTTCAACAAATACAGAGTTTATGATATGTGTGTAGACAAAGTAATTTATAAATTAACGCTTCCTAATATCGGTACATGGCGCTAAACCTGAACAAAATAAAAGAATAGAAATCTGTGCAAAAAGTGCTATTTAGTTCATTTGTTTATTATCACTAGAAATTAGAAAAGCTTTGATAATTGCAGCTTGTCGATGTAAAACAAATTAGGTACCAAAATAGCAGTTTGGTTATCGTCGCGACATCTGGTGTACGAATAGGTACTAAACTACGCTGTCTTGTATCGCAATTAGCATTCCTCGTGAGTTATTGGTTCATGATGATACTAAGTAACGGGATGAACAAGTCGTGCGCCTGATGGTAAGCGACACGCCTGTCCAGGACAGTTGCAGTGCCATTCAGAGCTTTAAACCGCAAAGATCTGAGTGACATTGCCACGGCACCTGTCACCCTGAAGTTGACAAGTCTCGTGCCTGTAATTTCCCCAATACTGCAGAATGGAATTGAAGCAAACTTTTGTATCCATAGCGTAATGAGCTTTATGACAATTATCTAACGTTAGGTCGCGCGTCAAATGCGACCTCCGTGGTCGAGTGGCTTGCACGCCGGATTTCATAGTGTCGCCATCTTTAATGTCCAGGGTTTGATCCCCGACCGGGGCAATGTAGATAACAAAACTATCTTTTCTATATTATCTGGGTTTTGGATGTTTGTGGTACCGTTGTCGTTTCCGACTTCCATAACACAAGTGCTTTAGATACTTTGGGATCAGACCAACATATGTTATGTGATGTTATCTAATATTATATTATTATAAAATAATTCCCGTAGCATCGTTACTTTGTACGTTACGCAATTTCGTTACATAAATTCCGTTCCATTCCCTTTCACAGCAATGTAAATTGAGCCTAAAACACTGTCCAAAAAGAGTTCATAAGTAACTCTTCAAAGATAGTTTTTCCGACTTATTAACATCTCACGAATTTGTTCTGGAACTTGTGTTAGACACCTTTAATTTGCTTTCAAAACACGACCTTAGAATTAGAAATAAATACCTGGTATCTATTCAAGTTGTTACCACTATCTTGTTAAACTGTAACGTGTTTTTCTCTACGCTACTATCGCTGCACATGAAATACCAGTGTAGTTAAAAATTACACGTGACTAGAACCAAGTAGTAGTAACCGAGAATAGAATGAGATGCTTTGCACGGATGTCGACAAGATTCTCTGGCTGATGCCATAGCTTTTAAGCCTGGGATTTGTTAAGGCTACTATGGATGTACAGTATCACAATAATATTGAAACGCTGCCATGTTAAAAAACATTAAATTTACTGCCAGGCATGTACAAAAGTTGGTCACAAAAATAATCTCCTGTCAGTTCTACGACTGAGTAGGACAATTTAGAATAGCGGAACATTCTATTACATCGTCTTGGTGTTCATCTTAAGTCAGTCTACATAATACATAATTAATTATTATCTGTATTACTTTGAAGGTACGTTTATTTAGGAAAGCCTTAACTAGTCGCAATCTCATCTGATGGACTGTGGAAGATTTGAACGAGGGCCATTAAACTCGAATATTAAGTACAAAATCGACATCCGTGAGATCTAAAATTAATAGAGAACACAAATTAAAGTTCACCGTATAAAATAATGGATACGCTAATATATATTGCAACGTTTTATTGCTTGCAAACGTTCATTCGAAACACATTCAGGCACTCGTCTACTTTGAAATACAAATTTAAAAGCCTATTATAGCTTATAGAACATACCATTCCTTTAAAATCGTGTTTTAAGATTATATCGAATTTGGGGATATTTCTGATTCTTTTTTTGTAATACACTTATTTTAATACTTTTCAGTAGATGATATGCGCACGAGTAATGTCGCTGTGAATGGCGCCCATAGCTGTGTACTAACAAAGAGAGTAAAAAAGCATTGATTTTGACATTAATGTCAATTAGTATTAAGGCGAGGCTATTTGAAAGCGAGTCTAGATTTTAGGAAATGAGGTAGGGAGGGCGCGGCCTGCAATCCGCGTGCAGAAAAGGACAGGAGGAAATTTTATATTGACAAGCGCCCTATGAAGACTGACGAAGAAGCGGGCGGCGCGGCGTTAAACCGCTGAGCTATTTTCAAGTTTTGGGATAAACGTGAATTTAGTAACTATAGGGCTTCAGTTTAAAACCAAAATTTTGCATGTTCTCTATAGTACTTAAAGAGACAAATGTCCATATAAAAATTACGTGCATAGTTTGCATTTTATCCTTGATAATTGGACGTAGTTAAACAAAATAATCCAATCCACGTCCACTCCCTTTCGAAAAATGGCAGTTTGAAGTTTAAAAGTGTTTCTCACTCTTGTTTTATTTTCAAAACTTATAATGTCATGTAACTCCAGAGATATTTATATATTTTTATATGTTGGATTTTTTTTGCGGGTCTAAGAGGTTAGACTTTAGGAAGGGTTTGGTATATATAACTCATTTTTTGATAATTTCGTGGACTGGATCCTTTTTGCTTAACTACGTCTAATTCGTTTTAGACTTTTGTTTTAGCCTGTTTTCGGGATTTTATATAATCGGGTGAAATACATCCAATCGTGTCACAAATTAGCATATTCTTTAGACTATATCCTTAGGTGTATGGTATATTTCTTGTAAGACCGTTATTTAATGGTAAAATCCTAAAACATTTGATTTAGCAAAACAGTTTTTCCCGCTTCTACTAAAGTGACACGCCTTAAGTACATCGGTTTTTTTTCTGTCGCAAATAAGTATTTGACCACAAATTCACCTGATGATAGGTATCGACGTAGTCGAAGATGGTAGACGCTTAAAAGCTCATCGTATTGACACAAATTGCAGAAGAATGTCGTCGGTAAAATTCAATTTTTATAACATAGACTTTTATTGCTTTTAATGTGAAAATTCAGTACTTTTTTACACCCTTTCCGTTCTCGTTTTTATTTCCATCGAAGTTTCGTTGTAAATTAATGTGCACATTCAATGATCCTATAACTGCTTTCGAACCCTAAACTATATATACACGAACCGCCTCTAAACTACGCAACTAATCTAAGCTACATCTAACAAAGGAATAGGACAAAATATATTTGGTAGTATGACGACACACGTATACGTACACATACAAGTCCGTAATGCTCTGTGAAAATTACCTCATGCTTTATACGAAATATTATGTAATGCTAAATTTTGAGTACAGATTAAAGATCAATGTTACATGGGGCGATATAAACTGGTCGGCTCACTAAATGCAAGCAAGGATCAGACAGTTTTCGTTGATAAAAAGCATAGTTTCTACTTATTAATTCTCATATTTCTGCTTAAATATTCGTATGTCACAGTGGCTTGAAATCTGCCTAAAATTAAGGCTATCTTCACAGAAGCATTGTAGACTTTTTTACAGACAGATAAAACTACTTTATTATCGCGATGAGGTATGGTACGGTTTTTTACAATCGAGTTACAATTTTAATTCACAATTGTTCTCTTTAACTTGCCGTTAATTTTTTGAAAACCAAAATTATTTTCTATTATTTTTTTTTCATATTACATCATATTCCGTTGCTTTCTTATAATGTTGTTTAAAAAAATGTACTGTATTGCCTATGACAAACAAAATGTAATTCCGCCGATTACATATAGGGCAATACTAGTCCATTTCCTATACGTGGACGACAAGAATGAAATAGCTTGAGACATTGCTGTAATTCATTATAAACTTGACATATCAAACATGTAAAAATAATATTACTTTTACGGAGTGATGACAATGACTCAAGTTACTTTTTACATGTTGGCTGTAATTACAGTTACTTTTTAAAAACTCTTGACAGTTCAGTTTAAATTCATCACGTCACAAATATAAACAAATATGGCCGACTGACTGTGACATCTGCAGGGCTAGCACGACAAAGCGCGACTTGCGCGAGAGCGCCATAACGCGCGCGATTCTCTATGCGAGAAAGGTATCTCGCGGTTTATGCCGCTCTCGCGCAAGTTCGCGCCCTGTCAGGCCAGCCGTCTGGGGGTCGATTCAGAACTTTACAATAACTCAGTTATCGACCGATTCGATTTGATATCGTAAGATGTGTTTTCGTTTTTATTAACAACACCAGAATATTGTTCAATTTCAATTTTTCATTTTTCATTTCAATAATTTTGTTCAATTTTATTAATGCATTTTAATGCAAGACTAATGCATTCCTATATTTTAGGACTTCAGTCTTAAAAATGTATATAAAAGGATTTTAATTTCTCTTATAATCTATTTCACGGACTAACTCTGTAAACGCTGTTGGATAACGATATCGTATCCGAATCCGAACCGAACGTTTAACTTAGATGTTCTGAATAACTTGGAAAGCGCCCTTCGCTTCGAGAACGATATACAATGGAACGATTCGGTTAAAATATCGAAAAGTTCTGAAAGCCCTGGTCATCTGTGAAATCATGAGCCATTCTAAAAGCGTGTGCTTCCTCACACTATATCTCGATACTGGCGAAATTCAAAAAGTTCGCCTCAAAAGCAAAAAGAAGAGGAATGTTTTTAATATATTCACAATTTAAAAAGTACACAATTTGATTAGTATTATTCTTTTCTTGAGTAGGTAGATATTTGAGCAGTTTTAATGTCGATGGACTTTATATCAAATTTTAAAATCAACGTGATTTTGCGTACGATAAGCTGGTTGGTTCACATAATCAAAGCAACGACCATGAACAGTTTAAATGTAAATTTTGTTTAAAAATACATACTTGACTGTGGCTTGATACAGAGTAAATATTTCAGTGATCTTTATGTCGATGACACAAGGTATTAATTGCGTCGAACGAACTGTCGAGAGATCATAAAGCAGTAAATGTCGATGTGTGTAGCAACGTGCATCGCGGCGAGTTAACGCGTGTCGTTGAAATTCGCGCGCCGCCTGTCTTGGCCGCGGCGCGACTCACGTCATTCCCATTGGTGCGGCGACGGCGGCAGCTCCGACGGGTGCGCCACGGTGGAACTGCAAGAGTCTGCGGGTTAGAGTCGTGTAGACCGGTAGGGTACCCACACCCACGCCACTAGGGTGTACATGTTTTATGGATTTGGCGAATTTGAAAAAAAAAATGTTCAAGTAAAAATTTATCATCAAAGGCCTTGTGTGTTGTGTATCTTAATGTAATTATCTCAATACCTCTCATGTAAGTTGTTGTAAGTCAAAATACCATTTTATTTTATTTTTTAACTTCTCCTCAACTCCACGTAATATGTAGATCAAAATGTACATATGTGATTCAGACGCAGATAATATTATTCCTATGGTCAGGTAAACGCCCAGTATACATTATTATGAAAATATCGCATTCACATTTAGCGCTACATATTCTATAATTATGACCATAGAGTATCTAGAAAAATACATTTTTCGTACAAAACTATAACGCTCACACTCAACATAGCCCCGCACTAGGGAAACCCTGTGTCGCGGGTGCCATGGACACACACATAGACAACCACAAATTACACCCAAACTCACGAGAGAAATAAATGTAGGCCATACAAATATTTCTCCCGGCCCGGGAATCGAACCTGGGACCTCTGCGTGGCAGTCCGGCATGGTAACCGTTCGGCCACGGAGGCAGTAAACTGAAAGTATACTTGCAGTTTGCTGGGTCTTGGCAGGTTAAATATATCCTTTTTATTATATTATAGGGGATGGAATCAATAATACCACGATTTTACTATTAGAAAAGCTATACATTTCGCACCGCTGTAAGAGCGACTAACTTGCATTGTGACAAAAAATGGTATCCAATGCAAAACAGGTACAATTGGCTCATCAGTCACGCCATTATTTACTTAAATGAACCAATGATGTTCACAACAAGTTTTATAATAAGTTATTTTTACTATTTTAAGTATATGCTCTTAAATAACGTAAATATTTCATTAAAATGTAGCTGCCTACATATATTAAAGGTTCCATGTTTGAAAGTAAACATAACATGAAACGATTTATTTACTTTTAAATATAGAACCTGTCATATACATAAAAAAAGGATATATTTAAGGTAAAAAGCCAAAAAATGGTATTTTGACTTACAACAACGTACGTGGAAGGTATCGATCTGAATACCAAGAAAACTTAGGCTCTGCTAATATCGTCGGTGTTTTGTAGAAAGGGCGAAAGCGCCATTTCGAAAAATTTTTCAAGGGAGCATGTTTCAGTTTTTCACAATAGTTTTAAAATATTTACGTCCTGTTTTTGTAATACTTAAAACTATATTAAAACCAAAATTTTATTTCAAAACTGGACGCACATATTTTAATAGTCGTCAAAAACTAAAACATGGTCACCTGGTTTTTTTTTCTAAATGGCGCTTTCGCCCTTCCAGCAAAACACCGACGATATAGCGGGGCTAGCACGAGAGAGCGCGACTAGCGCGGGAACTCGCGCTTTACGCCGCTCTCGCGCAAATCGCTCCTTGTCGTGCTAGCTTTACAGAAACAGTTTAATAAAACCTAAGTCCATAAGTTACGTACGTACGTTCGCCACAATCCACCAAACATTGTACTCCCATCATGCATAATAGAATCAAAAAGGTTCGTTTAAAAGACCAAGACTGTACTATGATAATAAAAGAGAACTCGTAGCAAATCTGCATCACAAACTACACTTGTCTACTGAGTATCACCACAACCATGTGCTTGGCACTGTGTACACTCTACGCATGCACTACTGCCATTCTAAGCAGACACTCCAGATCTAGCCTTGCAGGGGTCACCTTACGATTGGTATTTCAATAAATGGATTTTAAACTTTTAAGGACGGAAGGCGCGTAAATTTTTAACTAAAGCTGTCTTAAAAATAGTAAAAATAATTATGGTAACAAATATATTCACATATTATGAATCTATAAATTCTAATTATTGACCCATACAAAGCTATAAAAACCTAGTTTTATACCTCGATATTCTGAGTTGAATGTTCTGCCTAGATATCCGTAAAGGACCCACTATTCCGCATATAGATATATTTTCTGATCCGTACAGTTATTTTTCGTCAATCTATTTAGAAAACAAAGTGGGGCAGTCATAGTCCTATCTAAAGTATTTGATCGAAAGAATATAAGCATTTGAACGAATGGATACGAGACCAAGACTGTTTTAGTCCTTGGCATACTTTTCAAGGCGACTTATATTCAGTGTAACAATATTTCACACCTTATACTGTATCTCATATCAATTCCGTTATGTCAGTGATATACCCATGTATAAAAAAGATAAGCTTACAACGATTAGTGGCAAATTTACGCGTTTGAAAGCTGAGTAAGCAGATATATTTAATTGCTCAAAAAACGAATAAAATGTGATAAAATAATGTTTTAAATTCAACGTAGTTTAATGTAATAATATCTTTTAGACATACATAATTCATCAGACGTTTTGAGATTCAGAGTGCTACTGTATTTATACACTGACCGACAGATTTAGCGGAACACTAGTAAAACCCACAAAATATTGTAGTGTTTCTTTCGAGAGTTTGGTCAGTTATTTTAATTAGTTATTTTAAATTGAAAATAAAACATTAGTCGACTAACTTATTTTTTTTTTTTCATTTAATTGTTTTGATTTCCAACTAATCCTGGCTTGTGTAGTGGTTCGAGGTTAATTTTGTGTTCTCTTAAACTTTAACTGTATACGCAAATGAAACTATTTTTTTCGGATCTAAATCACGTATATTTGTTTTTTTTTTCAAACATATCACGTTTCGGGTACCTTTAGAGGTTCCATGGTCATGGCTAATTGTCCTTCCTGTAAAGGGCCCGGAACGTGGACTTGTTTGAAAAAAATAATTTTATTTATTTAAATTTGATTAATACTAGACTTTTAACAATTGTAAACTGTTACTATTTTTCAAATTTAAGGTATTTCGGCTTTGTTACAATTTTTTTAAATAATGTGCAATTTGTCTAATTACTATTTTTTTCTAAAAGGACTAGGAAATCGACGTTAAAAGGTCTTAATTGAACTGCTATTTTATGTCTAACACTTATTTGCGTAAACATGAACGTTACTATTTTATTTTCTTACTTTTTCATTATTCCGCTAAATGTGCCAGTGTGTGTATTAAAATGTATTCTAAATAGCTGTCGACAACCCGTAACACAAAAACGTACGAATCAGAAATCATGCATTGCAAATGAACCATTCGCGGGACGGATTATCTATCGATCAACCCTTTTGAAATTACGATTCGACGCACGACGACGAAGCAAAGCATGCATTTTATATTACTAATGGAATTTATAAGAATTGCCTCGCCGAAAAGCGTCGATGTATACCGTCCAAGACCTGTAAGGAGACCAACGACGCAAGATCACGAATTCACTTATTAAATAACGCTTGCGTATTAGCTTGGAACATTATCTTCCATAAGAAACTTTGTAGAAACGATGATGTTAGAGCGGTTACACAAGGCAACTTCGCGATGCTGAAAATCACCGCGTATAACCACCCTTAGGCCAAAATTCGACGGTGCGTTTAGCAGAGCGTTCAAAGTTTGCGCGCACAACGTATGCGCAAACGCTCTGCTGTACGCGCCACAATTCCGAATTTGCGGCCTTAGAAGTAAATACGCAAGCTTATAGCAGCGGTCTCGTTAAAGTGTTGGAGCAGTACACAGATAAGGACAACACAGGAATGCGTGCAGAGCGCTTACTGGGGCTGCGGCGCACTAGGCAGCGCACAGAAATATCACGGGCGATAGCAGTAGTATTTTTGCCGCCGTCTTGAAAGGGGAACAAACTTTTGCTTTCGAACCCGCTCTAGAGCTGTCGCAAAACACAGAAAAAGCAGAATGTTATTACTACTGTCGGAATAGCGGTGCTATGCTAGGTGAAAGCGGGACACCACCATTTCAAGAGGGTTGATTAGCTTGAAAACAGCGGCGCTGCGGCGTGGTATGTACAGAGAACTATCGCTCGGAAGCGGAGAAAGTAAGACAAAACAAAATGTATAAACCCATGCACAAATCGGGCGCCCGCAAAATGGCCCGTCAAGTACATAAGTTGCTCGTGTTATCGTACAAATGAAGGCACAAAGTACTGACACCTACACTGCAAAAACACAACTACTGTAAGCGAGGTGTCGGAGGGGAAGTGTGGGGGGATACGACATAGGTTTTTTTTTACTGCGACCACCGAACTTAAGGGCCCGAGTAGAACGAGGTGTAGAGATGGCGAGACACATGGTGATGATACGTTATGTACATAGAGGTGACACTGACGTGCACACACTAGCAGATCGCACCGTGACACACCTAGTTGTGATGCCTGCTTGCCGTCTCTTATTATCTTTACTTGAACGGTGGACACAACACTGGCTTTAAACTTTGAAAGTAAGACAGAACACACGAAGAATGTTAGTTGCAATTTGAACCACGCGCTAAGACGTCGCCTCTGGAACTTCGGGTACCTAGTACATATTCACGACCGAACAAATTGTTAGACTTGTACCACAACCGAACATGGCGTCCCATTGATACATAGACATTGAAGAACATTTGTGCTCGATCGACTGTATCAATATACCCAGTGTAATGTTCAGGAAGCTTCGTGTTAGCGTGTTGGGTGCAAGCAGTGTTGTCCCATGGACGGGGGGAGGACGGGGGTCGTGGCGCGTCGAGTGCGGGTGGTCGCTATACAGCTGGGAGACGCACTCCTGCGCAACGACCGCGACGGTGTAGATATGAGACATGAAGAAAAATGTTGTTTTTGACAGTGATATTCAATTGCAGCCTCTCAATTGACAGTTTGAAAATGAAAATTTTGAACTGTTTTATATTTTAGTTCTAGTGTCGAAACGGTGCTGTCATCGTCTTGTTTTGATATATTCCAGTCAGAGTAATTATTTTAAACATAATTTAAATTCTCTTCATGGATATTTAACATGTGGACTATTTAATAATAATACTTTCCACTGTCAGCAAACAGGCTAATATTACAAATCAAAATACAACCAATCATCATTGACCCCCCTATCTCCATCCAGTTGCGGTAGTTTGCGCGAGAAGTGAGTCTCAAGAAGGTATCGCAAAGAAATCACCTAGTGTCGGTTGGTTGTTGGTGGCGGTTGCGGCTGCGCCTTACCTTGCGAAGCTCTTGAACGCGGCGGACTGCGGGTTGATGCAGAGAGGGACGCGTGAGGTTTGGAGCTGTTCCGCTATGAATTTGTGGATCTCCTCTGCGGAAGTTATAGTTAAAACATGTTAAAAAAGGTTATCAACTTCTGCTTTTCCATTTTTTTCTACAAAGTCATTGAAGTCATCCTTATAAGAAAGTGGAGTCTATTAGAATTTAAAAAAAATTTTAAATTTTATTCATTTGGTATGAAAAACTATTTTATGAAATTTGACCAACTTCTGCTGTTCCGATTTTTTTCTTCCTTTACAATGAAATGATCCCTTCATGATACTGAGTCGATCAGCACTAAAAAAATTTGATCAATTTTATTCATTCTTACGGACAACTCACGCTTGACCAAAAAATTTACAATTACAAAATCGTTTTCACAAAAAAATACTTAATGGTTCCTAAGAGTGTCCTTGTATCCTCTATGGTTTCGGATTGCCCCATACTCTCATATTAAAAAAACACTTTTTTTTTTTTTTCAATATGTATATTATTACAAGCGGACACACCCATTCAGTAATACAATAAATAAATTTCTTGCTATCTCGTTTAAGTTCATAGTAATTATTATAAAACGATCCTATGAAAAGTCAGTTTAGCAGGAAAAGGTGTACCCAAAACTTTTTATTTCTTTTGCGTCTTCATAATAATGACAATGCCAAAATTTGACGGAGATTGATAGGACGAATAGTTAGTAGTAATCTCTAGGTGTACGAGTAATATTCGTATTGTCTCGGATTCGTATCGGACTTGGTGCACAAGCGACATCCGAACTCGATCTAAGCTCTCTAGATTTGTATGTTCTCTGACACACGCAAATGCGGTTAGGCCGGCACAGAGTTACACGCTCCATAATTGCGTGCGTTCTTTTTTTGGAAGTAATGCAAAAATTCCCGAGCATGTTTGAAAAAAAAAATCGCTGGAGTGCAGATACATAAATACAAGAAAAGTACGCAAATATTAGCAACAGATGTCAAACGCACCTTTGACCTGATGTACAGACGTGAGCTTCCTCTCCCAGGCGTCATGGAAGGGATGCGTCGCGACGGGCTCGAGGTCGGGCGAGTAGTGGCGCGCGGGCGCAGGCCCGCCCCCCACGCCGACGCCGCCCACGCCGCCCGGCGCGCTGTAGCAGCACTTGCACATGCATGAATGGTAGCGCAGGCGGCCTTCCTCGAGGTACGGGTGGGCCAGTGCGTCCACTACAGAGATGCGCTTCGCCGGATCGAATACTAACATCTGAAATCATGTTCACAACTTTGTTTAGCAACAAGACTTACTGTTAAAAAAAGTCAACATTATCAACCCAAAATAATGATTAGTTTGTCGCGTGAAATTAAATTGTCGAGCAAATTTTATGCTATTTATTTACCTAAATAATCGCAGCAGAAATAAAAAATATGGGTATTACATTTATTTGAAGCCGAGGTAACTTAATCGTTTGACAAACCGCCTTTCAAGCAGAGGCTGTGGTTTCGAATCCGGGCTCGCACCTCTGAGATTCTCGGAATTTATATACGAAAAATTTGAAAATTTACCATAAGCTTTTCGGTGCAACAAAAACAAACAAGCGAAACTGCACGTCGAAGAAGGTTCGCAAATCACAACCCTAGGAAAACGAGTTAAGTTCCCAACCCTCATTAATCCATAGTGTCCGACTATGGCATAAATTCTAGCCTGAGAGAACACTCGCGAAAAGCAGCGGGACATATAAATGGGTTGACAAAGATGATACGTCCCATTGCTGAGCATAGGTCTTCTCTAAGGAGAACGTTTAGGATATCGTCTACGCTGCTCCAATGTGGCTTGAGGGCTTCTCAGTTTTCCACAGCCAGGTTTCAACAAGACGTATTTCTTCACCATTACCGACATTATTTTATTGCTACTAAACACTTACGACAGTACGTAACTTAGAAATTACTCATCGACCTTCCAGTTACGTTATGACCGTTACACGCTATATGATGTAAAGACGTAGCCAACGAAATAAGTTCAAATTTACTGTATTTTCACAGAATTTGCAAAAGAGTTGTTCCATTAGTGGTACTAAAATAAAAGGAAAATTTTACCAGGCTTTCAGTAGGCGTTTTGTAAAGATCTCTCAAAATGTCGAAATTCTGAATCAAAAATATTTTTTTCTTACCTGCAATTTCCGAAAATCGTTAAGAATTTTTAATACAACGGAATCCCACGTAATGTAATTTTTTGGTAATGGGCTAGTGGCCAATGTCATGAAAAATATATTGACAGAACAGAATTAGAGGTGGGCTTTTAATTTAAGACTTTCGTGGTTATTCACTAAATGATTATCACTAATATCAGGTTTCTTACCACGGTATGACTTCTTTTTATTTTCCCGATATTTCGAAACGGTTGCACGCTCCATGGTCACGGGTTGACTGTACAGTCAGAGAAACCTGACACTAGTGATAATCATTTAGAGGTGGGCGTTTAAACGAAAAGCACTTAAAAAGTCTGCTTTTTAAAATAAGCGCATAAGCACGCTTTTCATTTTAAGCGTAAGCGTTGTTTTTAAACATAAGATCTATGCACTTAAACGTTTTTCTAAGCGACTTTTTAAGCGTCAAATTAAAAAGCGATTAGGTGAAAAGCGCTTTTACAAGCACGCTTTTTAAACGTACGTTTTAACGTTAAAAAAATAAGCAGTTTTTTCCATTTCAACGGTTAACAACTACAAAAGTTAAACAAAACGAACGCTTTTAAACGCCAATGAACAAAATGTTAATATAATAGTGTTACGTCATAATAAAAATATAACTCGTTTTTTACAAAAAAACTTACTAATACCTTTAGTGGTCTACTCTTGCGTTTCGCTATCAACACAACGTTGTAAGCTTTTTTTAACATAAAAGACTATGCGCTTAAACGTTTTCTAAACGATTTTGTTAGCTTCAAATTAAAAAGCGTTTACGTGAAAAATTAAAAAAAGCGTTTAAAAAAGCACGCTTTTTTTAAAAAAGCATAACCTTTAAACGTTGAAAAAAAATAAGCAGTTTTTCCCATCTTTAATCAGAATGTCAATTGCAATCAAGTATTTGAATATTTTAGCGATTAAGTGTTGCTGCTTTTTGGACTTCTTTGAGAATCGCAATGATGCTGATAGTTATTTAAACATGTTTACCAAATTTTTGTTTTAAATAATACTTCAAAAAATGCAGGTCTGCTATGTTGACGCATGTTGCAAATGTACCTATCTATAACTACCTGCTATATTGGAGTGAATGAACTTTGTAAAAAGTGACCAGTAGTAAACGTAACGGTAGTTTCCTTAAAACATAACAAGGTCACAATTTTTTTTATTGTTTTTGCACTTTTTTGCACATATCTAGCAAAAAAGTTGAGCCTGGTTAATTTTTTCTGGCAATAAAGTACCAAGCTCCATATCACTTTGGTACCAATTTTTTCCAGTGTGATTACCTTAACAACGTGTCAAGCTTACCTGCGCGAGCAAATGTACGGCCTCGTGCGTGGCTTGCACGGAGAGCGTGTAGAGCGCAGCGAGCGCGGGCGGGCGGGGCGCGCGCCGCAGCATATGCGCGCGGGCGCCGGCGCATGCATGCCGCATGTCTTCTAGTGACGGTGTGCCCAGAAGCTCCGTTATTAGCTCCAGCTGCAATGCACAGGTACACAAGCGTAATTAAAAGTAAGCAATTAATAAATTAATGAAAAATACATTTCTTTAGTATACCTAGTTATACAGGGCGCTTCACAGCTATGGGGCATGGAGGGCGGATGCTTTAAATATTGTAGATAGGATATTTTGCTTCCTCGATACATAGTTTTAAAAGTACTACCACTACATTTTCTTATATACTCGTAATTGAACATTTCTATCGGCATCATAAAAATATATATTAAATATGTTTTTTCAAATTTAGTCGCTTCCATTCCCAAATGAGGCAAGAAACTTTAAATCTCTAGATGTAGTATTACTTACTTTTAAAAATAAAATAATGTTTCCATGAAGCAAAATTTTAAAGTACTTTTTTTTGTCTACTTTGTCAATTCCTCAAAGATTACTTTCCAAATTTATTAACGTAAAGATCGAACACTAACAAAAATTTGGTTCGAATTTAGTCAAATCCCTTCGATTCGTCTAAATTCAAAAAATGCTATGCAAAAAATGAAGAACACTAAGAAAAATTCCTTAATTTTTCTTAGTGTTCTATCGCTGTATTAATAATTACTACAAAGTAGTGGAGTAATTTCACAAAAAATAATTAATTACCATGGTGGTGAAATATTGTAACAATCTATGTTCAAAATTAAAACTATAATTTTATTCTTCGAAAGATTCGTAGCAAGCAAGACCCTACAATTGAAGTTCTCATGCATGTTATTTGTAAATAATGTCACCTGTTGGACAGGACTCTGCGCCTGGAAGAGGATCCGTCGGCCCAGCAGCTCGCCAAATATGCAGCCTACTGACCACACGTCCACTGCCGCTGTGTAGTGGTTTGCGCCCATCAGGATTTCCGGTGCTCTGGAACATAACAAAGTGGAATTTAGATGAAAACGATTATCATCAGCTTGTCAACAAAACGTCATACAAAGTCGCTAAAAATATTCTCATACCTTTTGCCCAAAGTTGATAACTAACTGTAATTTAACTCATATCGATAATTAGTACTGTAAGTCTTTATGTTGTCGTATGAAAAAAAACTTTTTATTAATTTGATCAACTTCCGTCCCGATTTTTTCTTCCCATACAATGAAATCATACTTATAAGAAACAGTCTATTAGCATTAAACAAAAGTCCATTTTATGTTGATTGAGGATGTTTGCCCATCGTTTTGACTGTACAATTTTAAAGTTTTGGGTAAACATTACAATTGGTCAAATTAAGTAATAATTGTGCATTTTCCAAATTTTAATATTTAAATTTTCTATCAATATCTCAAAATTCAATGTAATCATACTAACATAGTTCTAAGATTTTCTTTTGTAACCAACACCATTATCTTATGGACTATTAATTAATTATTATTATTATTATTTATTATTTATTCATTATGTATGAAAAATATTTTATGAAATTTGACCAACTTCGGCTGTCCCGATTTTTTCATCCCATACAATGAAATGATCCCTTCATGACACCGAATCGATTAGCGAAAAATTTGATCAATTTTGTTCATTTTTATGGACAAATCACGCTTGACCAAAAAGTTGACTGAAAATTGTTTTCACAAAAAAAAGGTAACGGTTCCTAAGACATTTTCCTTGTATCTACTATGGTTTCGGATTTCCCCATACTGTCGCATTAAAAAAACAGTGTATATAGAAACCCAATAATACACAATATTTTCCTCGCCATTTTTGAGCAACTTGTAAAAAACCGTATACATGTATATTGTTTTACCAAATATTAAAAAAAAACAGGGGTTTTAGAAGTTATTTTGACTGAACTAACAGAACAACGCAAGACATCAAATCAATTCCTCAAACGAGTTAGACAAACCTGACCCAATCCAATTCTGTTGACCCCACTGCTTGTCGATCTGTTCAGTTGTCAATTAGTTACCATGAAAACAATAGGTCGTAGAGCAACGGTCACAAATTGTAAGAGCTTGTCACTTGTTATTTACATATAAACCACCCTAACAACAACAACACCTTAGTAACAAGTAACAAGCAACATATGAACAAACTGTTTTCAATTTTTACATGTAACATGACGGTCAGCTGGGGTTCGAACTCGAGCTCTCTTTTCTCTAATTGTTTCGATCCTCATGAAATTTGAATTTAAATACGTAATAAATAAATAAAATGTTTCTTTATGTTCTAGGTATACACCCATTAACAAATTTAACATTATTTATTTATTACATTACATTACATATCCACTAAATTGAATTTTAATAACCGAATATTATTATCATTAATGAAGTAAATAATTAAGAATCACATTAAATTGAATTCAATTTACATTACAAATAATAATATAATTATAATTAATTTGTTTATATTTTAAAAATAGAGTGTTCTCTTACAAAGTCGCACGTATCGCATACTGTCCTTACTTATATTGATTGATTACTTACTTATATTGACCGAATCGCTCACTCTCGTAAGAAATGACCAATATCACTTTCGTATTATGGCGAAAAAATCGTCGACTGTATTCACGGCAAACATGCCAGACGCACTACACCGCCAGGGCAGCAGCAGCATAGCACGCAATGCGTTATTGTACTGAACTCTGAGTCTATCAAAAAGTCGCTTAAAGTAATGATACCACAACTGACTAGTGTCGAATGCCTGACAATAAGCCCGTTATTTTTACTTGAACTGTGCAATGAGCGCATCGACGTGTTAACATGTTACTCTTCATGGCTATAGTCGGCGTCGGTGTGATGAAAAACATTGTATGTTTCAAGGGTGGTACGGGAATTAAGAATCTCGACTCCGAAAGATTTTAATAGAGTCTCGTTCGTAATTCCTCATTCACCGCCTTTAATACACAATGTACTATACTGCCTTGTTATTTTTCAATAACTGTTAGTATAAGCTGTTGTACATATTCTTTACTTGTTATTTGTGTAGAATAAGGTTTTAAATCGTTGTATGTAAATGTAGTACGCAGAATGCCATATGGCATAGTACTTATGTACGTCATTCATAATTGAAGCTATCAGGGCAAAAGTGGTGCAACCACCATTTTTTCTGCAATGTTACTTTAAATGATACTAAAGTACTAAGTGAGTATTATTTTATATTTAGATATATAGAAATAATTATGTACTTTAGTATCATTTAAAGTAATATTTTAGAAAAAAAAAAGTGGGTTACACCACTTTTGCGTTGATAGCCTCAATTATCTTGTACAGTAAAGATCAAATAAATAAATAACATGTGAACACATGTTGGCTAAGTAACCTGGTAATCGTCCGATAAGCGGTGATCAATAAACTGTGAAAAGTTAAATATAAAAGGAATTGTATCTTAAATGTTCTCAAGTCACAATAATTATGTAGTAATTAAATTTAAATAATATCTTAAATATAAGATTTTATTCGAAAAATTTGATTACAAAGTTAATTTCACAAGTGAAAGTTACAAAGTTAATAAAGTGAAGATTATGAACTCCGTATTATAAGTAAAATTATTACGAAACATGTTATATCCGCTACTTTCGATCGTTAAATCAGCAGATTTAAGATAAATTTTATAGAATAAATTATAAGATAAAATTTACAGCAGTAGAGCTCCTTGTGAAAGAGTTCGTCCATAAATGTACTGCCACATTACCTATTTCTGTCACCAAGCAGTGATGTTAGCATTACTGTGTTCCGGTTTTGAAGGGTAAGGGTGCTGGTGAAATTACAGGCACATGGGACTTGTCAACTTATGTCTCAGGGTGACGGGCGCAGTGACAGTGTCCCTCGGATCTTTGCGATTTAAAGCTTTGAGTGGCACTGTAACTGTTATGGACAGGCGTGTAGCGTACCATCAGATGCACGTCTTGTTCATCCCGTCACTTTACGATTTACATATAGGTATACAGGTCACTGATAATTTAGAGATTTTTCTTATTTTATTATAAAAAAGAAAAATAATTAAAAAATTGAAACTATTTTTCAGGGTCTAAATCGCGTACAATATTTTTTTCAAACAAACCAACGTTTCGGACCTTTACAAGTCCCATAGTCACGGCTGACTGAGACAGTAAAGTAATTAACCAGGTATGTCTAATATTAATTGCAAACCCCCTATTCTGACATCCTTATCGTACTCTATATCATACTAACGTAACCGACATTTTTAGCGAAATTCAATTATTAAGGTATCTGGAATTGATTTTCGCTAAACGACTCTTTTATGGGGAACTGTATACGTTTTTACAATAAAATTCCGGAGCATATACTTCCTAAGTTTAAAAACTGCATTAAAAATATTTTAATTAAAAAGTCATATTTCAAAATTGAAGACTACGTGTGAGATAAAAATGTAGGGACGACATGGCTCAGGATTCCATACAAATTTGTTTCAAAGTGTATACCAAAGCATTTAAGTTTCTTTGAAAAGAGCAATCCCTTAAAGTTTCTTGCTCGTTCTTCTCAGAGAAGTCAGCGTAGTGAACGAGCAGTAGCTTAAAAGCGACGCTTTCAAGAGTAAATTTATTTTACCCTAAATTTATTTTTATTAAATTTATTTATTCTTTGACTTTCACTTTTACAGAATTCAGTCCAAATTCGGTGTATTTCAAGATACCAATCAAAGTCCCATAAATTCCTTCCAAATAAGATTACAACAGCAGACCCAACACCCCACAGAATGTGCAATACGTATGTGCGATTGTGTAAGACGCAGAGGTCCCAGGTTCGATTCCCGGGCCGACATAAATGTGTGTATGGCCTACATTTATTTCTCTCGTGAGTTTGGGTGTAATTTGTGGTTGACTATGTGTGTGTCCATGGCAACCGCGGCACAGGGTTTCCTAGTGCGGGGCTATGTTGAGTGTGTGCGTTCTATATATATATATATATATATATACACACACACACATACACAATACTAAAAAGACGAAATCAGTTATAATTTGAGTTCCTTGTAGCCGTTCTCAAAAGGACGCGATTCCCAGAAGTCTTCTAATGGCTGCGTAGAGTTCCTAATCAATATTCGGTTGGAATAGTCACCATTCAAGGGATAAATATTAACATCTACATTTCGGATTTGCGTCAAATTAAATAACGCTATCTAGCGTCTCTTGAGGGAAGTATAAATACTTATAGTTAAGGAAGATTATTGCGTTAAAACGAAAATGGTAACGCGGCGTAGGTTTTACGTGTGAGTTAAACGAAAAAAGGTGCCTTAGAAATAAGAAGAAATTGGGTACCTATTAGAAATAAAATATCTCTAATAACAATCGAATTAAAATTATTTTTTAACCGACTACAAAACAAGGATTCGACTGTTTTTTTTATGTATGTTACGTGATAACTCTTTTTCACTTTAATTTGTGAACCGATTACGATGATTTTTTTATTGTTGGAAAGAGGGTGCCTCAGAAGTAGTGCCATTTAAATTGGAAAAAATAGTCCACCTCATAGGGTCATATTCCAGAACTCTACTCAATGCTCAAGTCAGGACTTGAGTAGACTTGAGTATGATTTCAAGAACTGGAAATACGACCCTAATGGCAAGGACTTGAGTATGATTTTCAGTGCTCACTGCAATACTCAAGTCCTGACTTGAGTATTGAGTCGAGTTCTGGAATACGACCCTAAGTGTGACAAACTAGGGGTTGAATAACTTTTGAGGTCGGTTTTTTTTAGTACTCTGTACTGAGATGATTATTCATAGATGAATGTTTAAAAATTATAATTTTGCGGAATTTTGTGATTTTATTTATCGAGAGACGTTTAGACAATCGTTTTTAGGACCCATATTTCACTACAGCCCCCGCAGCATGGCTACGCATGATAGTCGTAACGCGCGCGATAAAATTGAAATAAACGCGCGCTACTGGCTGTCTCAATCAGATCTAATTTAGATAGCCAATAGCGCGCGCTTATTTCAATTCTATCGATTAAAAAAAAAGTCGAAATACCGATTTTCCGTGTGGTTGAAATAAATGAAAACGTCTGTTTTGGGTCTCAATTCACCTTAAATGTAATCATAAAAAACTATAGATATTAATATGGACGAGTTCTTCTAATCGTAGGTACTGAGATTTTCTTTACACTGCGAGAACGTTTTACAGGTTCCATGGCATTTCAACTACTCAATTTATCAAAATGAAGAATATCTAAGGATTTATCCACAGCTTCTTGTGAAGCATGAATAAGCAGCTCTCATACAAAGAATGCTCGATATAGCTGTATTTTTAAAAGAAACATTATTAAAAATAAAATATTTACCCACCTATAATATTGCGTGACGACCTCTTGCGTCATGTTTTTATTCGTATCCGGTTCCTCGACTCTGGCCAGGCCGAAATCGCAGATCTTGAGCACACAGTTGCTGTTCACCAGAAGATTGCCGGGTTTAATATCGCGGTGCAAGATACGGGCTGAGTGTAGATACTTTAGACCTGGAATAATAAAAATAGTACTTTAATTGTGTTTTAAAGAACTAGATGAATTTCTAATGTAAAATAGCACAGTAAAAAGTAAGTTACCAAGTCGCACCCCTCATGAAAGAATGGCATAAGTGGAGTTACATCAAACACGTTCACTGCTCCATTAGATACAGAAAAATATAACCCACATGCTCTCCAATTCTTGTAACTCTATCGACTAAGTTTCAGTCCAATTTTCAATAAGGGGTGCGAAGTTCGCAAACGCCAAAGAAACTTTCATGTTCAATAAAACAATAATACACTTTGAAGACACGTGAATATTCATTCGATTTAGGATTGCACCCTTCTTATACGCACGCATCAATATCATGGATGCAGTGCCGAAGCGTGCTGATGAATATGGTAAAGCGTTGGGACGTACGTAATGTAGATTATAGACAAAGACTGCTATTACTACAACAGTAACATAATCAACCCATTTATACGTCCCACTGTTGAGCACAGGTTTCCTCTCAAGCGAGGATTTAAAGAATAGTCTTCAACACTGGCCTAATACGGGTTGGCTAGGGAGCTCACACATTTTCCGAGAGTTGTGAACCTTTTTCGAAGAGCAGGTTTCGACGTATCGCTATCTAAAACGTGACAAAGTGACAAAATACTTATTTGAGATATCATAAAAAAACATAACCCAGTTTTAGAATATTCAAATTGTTTAATGATATTTTAGCTTCGTATCGTTAGCGTAGGTTCCGATAAGTCGAACACGTGAATTAATTTTAACTATTTTTAAAAGAGAATTTTGCGCGCTATCTTAACGGATATTTGACCATTTGTCACTTAGCCGCTTTTTAGTTTTGTTATTGGACGGTAGATGTTTTCCTTCACTGAAAAGCTCATGGTAAATTTCAAATTAAATTTCGCACACAAATTCCGAGAAACTCAGAGGCGAACCCGGATTGGAACTCACGGCCTCTGCTTGAGAGGCGGTAGGTCAAACCATTATAGGCTACCACGGGTTCAAATAAACGTAACACCCATATTTTTTATTTGTGCAGCGATTATTTAGGTAAATAAATAGCATACATATTGCTAGAAATTTTAACTTCAAGCGACAAACTAATCATAATTATTTTGCGATAACACATGAATAGCAAGAAAGTCAAATCTTAAAGGATTAGTTTATACTACATGACGCATTGTTATGTTTATTAACTATTCACTAATTAAACTCAAAAGACATTCCGTAGCCACAATCTAGAAGCAAATACTTGATATTTGCTGTAGTTCAGTAGTATGTCAAATTCTGCTTAGTTTAACGGCTTCAACATAAATCATGATAAATATTTTAAGTAGCTCCTTATATACGAGTCTACATTTTTAATTTGTCCCTGGTGACATTGTTAATTTTTCTTTAAAGTATCCACACGTGAAGTATCTATATAAACTGCACTACATAATATTATATAATTTTTTTCCTTGTGATTTATTGTGTTAAATTAATATAAAAACTACGTGTTTTCGATTATTTTTGTGGTCGTTGAATTGTTTTTATCTAAGTGCCAAAAAGTTTGGGAACCTATGATCTAAAACAAAAGGAGCCGGTTAAAGCGTATGTTGTCATTTAAAACCACCGACACAAATGTTAATAAACGTTGTCGGAAATTTATGCCGATATAGTGGGTCGACGAATTAACGGCTATTGTTGAGGCAAATATAGGCGATTTCTGAAACGAATTATTGAGAACCAATTCAAGTGATATTGTTATAGCATGTACTATAGGTAGTAGCAGTAGAGGTCCGGTGACGGGAACAGTGGCAATGTCCCTCAGATATTTGCGATTTAAAGCCCTGAGTGTCATGGACAGGCGTGTCGCTTACCACCAGGCGCACGACTTGTTCATCCCGTCACTTGCTATCATAAAAAACTCATACAAATATTTTCGTCAATATCAAAACTGATATGGGGTACGTTGAAAGACGTAAAACAATTGAAAGGATGCTACGAAGGAGGCCACTAGTAATTATTACGGAGTGTGTGTGTGAGATACTTCTACAGAAAGGAGGTGTCGCGCATTGTGTTATATGTAGATATACAAAAACATACAAATTTGTTAAGCGAGAGGGGAGGATGCAAAGGGGTGTACAGAAATAAAGTTAACACAGACTAAGGCTTAGTTTATGCCAACTGAGTGTATACTGCTCATTTATTGCATCTGCCAGTTAAGCCGATTCCTGTGAGCGCTGGATGACATGGTGGCGGGCTCTATTACCGGTAGAACCAATTCGGGCAATGAACTTTTCTAAATTAGTTCTAGGTGTTCTGGATGGTGCCCCGAGTAATTTCAGTTGTTCTGATATACCTACAAAGAATTCTTTCACGTGACAGGACGAACGAGTCGAGCACTTGGTGATAAGAGACACACCTGTCCATAACATTTACTGTAGCACCACACAATGCTTTAAATCACAAAGATCTGAGGGGCACTCACTGCGCCCGCTACCCTGAGACTTAAGTCGACAAGTCCCATTTGCCTGTAATTTCACCAGCACCCTTACCCTTCAAATCCGGAACACAATACTGACATTACTGCTTGGCGGCATAAATAGGGGTAAGGTGGCCGTACTTTTCTAGACGAACTCTTTCACAAGAAGCTCTATTGCACATAAAGTTCTCTAGTTTAAGAACAGGTAATCGGTATAGATGTCTGACACATTATTATTATTTATACAAAGATCTAACAAAACACAAAGAACAATGCCTTCAACCCGGGCTGGACTCGAATCAGTGACTTTTACGCCAAACTGGAGCTATAAAAACATAATGGTAATAAAAACACCATGATATTCAATAAAATAACTATGGCACATTATCTTTATTATTCCAAAATACTTAACTGATGTTCTTTCGCACTTTAACATAAATATTTACCTTGAAAATTAAACTATGTTTTCAGATATAAATCGCTTATAGGTATTTGTTTTTTTTTTTCAAACACACCAACGTTTCGGAGCCCTTAGGCGATTATCACTGCAACGCGCCCCGCAACGGAGCGCGAACCTGCGTTTTTTAACGTTGTACTGAAGGACCTCAGTTTGTATGGAAAACACGCGCCGTCGAACACACTGACAACGCTTCTCAGGCGCGTGCGGTTTCACCCATCCGGTTCACGAACCGCAGGGTATGGCACACTGCGCTCTGCACTACCGCGCAGATTTTTAAGCTAAGGACCTGTTCAGTTTTCTACAATAGATCTCGACGTCGATAAATTTATATTTGCTTAGGAAATGAAACTATTTTTCCGGATTTAAATCGCGTATATTTGTTTTTTCAAACAAACCTTTTTGTTTGTTCCGGATTTAAATCGCGTATATTTGTAAAAATAGTTTCATTTCCTACACAGAAAAAAAGGATTTCTACTAATAAGAAAGAGCAATTTCTCACAATATTTGCTAATTCTGAAAAAATATTTATTAAAAGTAATAAAATATTGTCATTACAAAAATACTGCTTATCTTTTTCTAATACAAATTTACTCTTAACTTTATTCTAACTTTGAGACAAATACGTTCACTTCAAAATTTTATTTCATTTCTAATCAATTCATTGGACATTACTTACATCAAGAAATTTTTACCTCTTACATCAAATTTAAATAATCTTAAATGAATTCAAAATTTCTTGGGTGTATTTTAAGAAAATATATTCTTAAACAAAAAAAGAAGATGTTTTCTATTCAGATTAATATTCTAAATTCTAGAGTATATTCTTAAAGCAACATTTCGTTGCGTTTTCATAGTCAATCTTGTCGTGACATGTCGCCGAAGGCGCACGCGGTAACGATTACTTTTACTTGTGCTTGTAATTATAAAAATCATAAACAGTCATTTATCCAAAGAAACAATACGTAGTATCTCTAGTTTGTTAGGGTGTTATTTATATGTAGTCATAATTTAAGAAATTTGGTGGATGAAATCAAACTACACCTGTAACAAGCACAACTTTAACATGCAATTAGTTCCATGACGCCACTGCTAGATGGCATTAGTTGTACTCTGAAACGCGCTATCGTTTTGTTAACTTCAATAGTATAAAGTCATCTCATATATTTGGAATTGTTAGTGTATTCTGCCGCTGTAGCATTTATACGGCACTGAATGGTCCTCAATAAGAAGATTCCGTCCTATTTCTGCTACTTTAAGGTATGACACTGAACCGTGTGCTTTCACGCTAGTGAGACATACTGTTGGGTCCATAACCCTGTAAATTTACCCTTTTTGATATTAGAAAACACAAATCTTCAGTCAAATAATTAAGTACCTCTCAATTTTTCATTCTTTTTTTTTAATCAAAATCGGACATTTCTAATAACAAATAAATATTTTGTTGAATCTAGAGTGGCTTTGTGAGTTGAAGTAAATTAATTTGCTCTTGGATTAAATATTTCTGTCTTGTAACGAAAATACACTTTTGAGACGTTTTTTTACTATTATCAAGTAATTATTGTCTAGCGTCTATAGGGAGAGGATCGTTTTGTTGGATTTAATAAATTTGTCTTCATAAAAAGAATTTTGTATTTTTCTAAGTAATCTGTTTTTACCGTGTATGTGTAACAATCGCGAAAACCTAAGAACTCGATTTATATTTGCTATTGAAAATCGACCAAATTTATCTTCATATTTTCTTAAATCTTTGTAATGAAGTTGAAATTATCCATTTATGATCTGGTTCGTAAAAAGGGATGTATCCAATATCTTCGATGTCTTTTTATTTGAGTAAACAAAAACCTCCTGAATAAGTTCTGTATTATTAACCATTCTTGTCAAAGAAGGATCTCGGCTACATATACAATCACTACGGCGATCAACTGCGAAGCGAGTACTTTAAGTGACGCGGGGTCGCTAGACTGCTGCCCCCGCGCAGATTAAACCGCGCGTTGACGCAGATCTGCGTCTCCGCCACCGCGCGCGTGATTACGCGTGCAGTGTGATTATCGACTTACAGGTCCCATAGT